GGGAAACAAAAACTTAGCTGCCCATGTTGCTTCCCCAGACACACACATCCAGCTTCTCTTGGAAATGAAGAGGGAAGGAATGGATATTGAGTAGATAACTACAGTGTTTGCTCCATTCCCTAATAATATTACCTGGCAACTTAAATGTTTTGCATTAAAGAGAGGTTTTAGTTTGAAATTGAACGCTTTATGAATTTATTATTTTCCTGTCTTGGCTTGATTCTGCATTAGTTTTAGTAGCACTATACACATTCTAGTTTTCATGGTAGATGAAGTGGTATCAGCTCAATTCCATGGGAGGGAGAAGGATCAGGACTCCTTTCCTCTTGAAGAATTCAATTCACCAGCTCCGAGTACCTGTTACGTGCTTGGTGCTGCCACGTAATGTTATAAACTGATTACTGAAGAATTATGTAACTTTTGGGGTTTTTTTGTCCTTATGTTGTTTATTGGCTCCGTAGGGAGAAAAAAAATTTCATACGTGAAGTAATTGACAAACAGTACAAGAATTCAAATTTATTTGTTAACACATTGTGGACCAGTGATGCAGATTTGCGTCTATACATTTAAGTGCCCCATCCTCAATGTGTTAAAATGTTTAGTACTGGCATTGAGTGCTATGATATATAATAGAAACTTTTTTCTTCTATAGGGCCAACTGATGGGTGCATGGGAAAAAATGAAGGCCAAATAGAAGAGCAAAGGGCAATTTAATTTGCTTCTGTTTTGCGATAATTTTTTAAGTTAAACCCATTAGATTTTGAAATTTAAGGACTTTATGTAGGGAAACATCAAACTAAATATACCAAGTTTAACCCTATTGTTGTGTGAATTTATAATCTAATGGGGAAATACAGGTTTCTTTTTGCTTGTATTGTTTATTTGTATGAATATGTATTATGTTAGGTGAGGTTATGCTGTGGTAATATTAGGTTGTCGGAAAAGTCATGACGTATTTTTTCTGTTTTTCGTTGCAAAAATGCGTCATGACTTTTCCGACAACCCAATATATGTGACTTAAATCTTAGTGGCTTAACACAGTAAAAAACCCTTGTTCATCCAAAGTTTACCTGAAGGCTCATTGGCTCCAGGAAGACTGATATTGTCCAGGCGAGTTTGGTCCTGTGGCCCTCCTGTCTTAGGACAGTGCTCAGCATTCAGGAGAGCAGAAGACAGGGCTTCAGCAGGTGAATTACATGTTACTTTCACTTGCATCTCGTGGGCCATAGTGAGGCACATTGCTATACCTGACCTCAAGTGAGGGGAGTGAGTTCCTCCAGGAGCTCAGAAGCACAAGAGCCAGTGAGGTGGATAATAGTATTGTCAAGAAAGCATAATAAAAATAGCTATAGGCAAAGTACCTTGGGATCCCAAAGGAAAAGAAAGAAATTCTGATGGGATGCAGGGAGAGTCATGGAAGGCTTCATAAAGATGGTGACAGAAGACCCAAACACAAGGGAATCAGTAGGGTTTTCTAGTTTTGAAGAGAAAAGGGGTATTCAAACAGAGAACCAGGATCACGCTAGAGAATAGTGGATGGTGTATGGGGAGAGGAGGAATGGGGAAGATCAGAGAGGGCCTTGAATTCGTTTAGCATTCATTCAGCAACAATGTATTGCACAGCTCCTATGTACCAGGCACTGTTCCAAGTTCTCGGAATATCTGTCCGGTAATGAGCAAGTACACACAAATGCACATCCCCACCTCCTGAAGTTTACATGCGAGGGAATGCTAAGGAGTCAGTCTTTTGTTGTAAGTCGATTGGGGGTGAGCAAAGGAATGAATTCTGGGTGCCTGTGAATCTTGAGATTCATGATATTTCTATTTTACATGAAACAGAAGACTGGATTTGCACAGAAGTTAAAGTTAATATCTTGTCTATTTAACTGTGTCTCACTCTGGATAACTTACTACGTAAGCAGCTGAATTTATAAAACACATACATGAGAAAATGTATGTTTACATTACAAAAGCCTTTTAAACAAAATTTTTGGATAGTAATATAATTTTTTTTAGATTTTTATTGGGGAATTAGGGGCTTGGGAACAGCCCTGGGGAATTGGGGGAAGGGCAACAGACAAGTTGCTGTCGTTTTGTTCTTCAGTCTAGTTGTGGAGGATGTTGCTTCACTGGCCCAAGTTGGCACCATCATTG